TTATGGAGAGATTTCCGCGGCCGCCCTCAGATGCCTGTGAAAGGAAAACCACACGGGCCCGTGAACACCTGCGAGGAAGACACGCTGCAGCCGCGCTCGGCACCTCCGGGAGGTCTCGTCTGAGCGGTGGGTGACACACTCGCGTCCCCACGCCCGACGGCTTCGCAGCGGCGGGATTTCCAGAGTCAGCGCTCTGAGTCAGGCTGGCATCGGATGGGCCGCCCGAGCCTCGGCCAGGCGGAGGGCGCGGGGAGGCCTCGGCGAGCCCCGGTCTGCTCCCCGCGCCCAGCCCGTCCCTGCCCCGTCGGCCCCGCCCGCCAGGCCGCCAACCTCGTCGCCGTCCTGTCCCCTCTGTGGCCAGTGCCCCGCGTTCTCCCATCTTCCGGCGTCTCCCCCAGGTCCCCCAGGTCCCCGACGCTGCGGCCAGCACGCCCACCCTCGTCTCACCTTGTCCCGTGCGCTCACCTGGCCTTTTCTCTTAACAGCTCGATTCGGGTACATTTCACATAACATAACATTTGCCTCTTTCGAGAGGACGATTCAGGGGCTTCTTAGTAATTTTACCGCCTGCTGCAGCCACCACAGGAAATCCGGACACCTTCATCCCCCACGTCCTGACGCTCCACGGCTCGCGTGCGCCCTCCCTAACTCGTCTTCCCTGTGGCAGGTCGAGTCACACGACCGAAAGCACCAAGGTCCCCAGACTCAGGAATCAAACAGAACGAGGCTCAGATGCTGCTTGTGGCCTGGTCCCAAAGCTTACCAGCTGCACGAAATTTGGGAAGGGCCCTATAAAATGTAGAAAATGGAGGAAACTAATAACTATCCCTTAAAATTATTGTGAGATTTAAAGAAACACAATATCTTAGTCATTTTTTAAGTGATTTATATTAAGTTTGTGGCGACCTCAACAATTCAGGGCACTTCATGTGCACAATTTTGAGGTCATTTTCTCCAAGAACGTACCCATATAACTGACATTTTAATCTACGTAACCTTCCCGATGCTAATTTATGTCATGGTTGGCAACGCCACCCGCAATAAGTTGCCTCTTTCTAAATGGCATTTGTTGGAATCACTGAGTTAAATTCATATTATATAAAGGTACTGTAATGTTGAATTTTTTTTAAATATGGTTGATACTGGTATCAGAAACAATGGTTCCACAATACTGGCCTGGCTCCGATGAATAATGTGACTGTTTTCATATCAACATTCCTTTCGACCATCTGCTAAGTACAATTCAGCTAGCAATTAGCTAGCAATTAAGCCAGCATGTCAAAAAAACTTAATCAGCAACTCAACCAATTTTCAGAGTTATATTAACGATAACAGCTATGCAACAGACCGAATTTAATAAAAATGCTTCAAACATAAATCCCAATAGTTCTCATTTGTTTTCCGAATTGTAGGTGGCTTTTCAAATAGAAATGAGATGTACAGGAAAAGTATCAGACTTGAGAATGAAAGTTAAGATCACAGCCTCGCCCTGCACGGCCTTTCGGGGCCGGAGGTGTCCCCCCTACACCAAGTCCCCACCTGTCACTGGCCGTCCGTTCTCATTCACAGCCGGGCTCAGCTCCTGCAGCTGCCCCTGACCAAGCAGACGCGTTGGTTCCAAAACAGCTCAAGATGCTGAGGCAGAAAACCGGAAGGGGTTTCAGCTCCTGCACCTGCTCGCTGAGCGCCCTCGGACGCCTACTGGATGGATGCGTGCCTCCGTTTCTTCACCTGTAAGATGATAAACGAGCCTGCCCTGCAGGATGCTTCGAGGCCCGAAGTTAGTGAATACGGCACGGTCAGCATCTTCCTAGTGCGCGCTAGCCTGCAGCCATAATAAACCATTTTTTCTGTCGAAATCCATCATTTACATAATATTAGAGGCATCTTTTAGGGCTGGCTTTTTGGTCCCTAATACGCTCTTTTTAAAGGATCTAACACTAAGGCACTTTGCCCACAAGAGGAATCTATGATCACCCCTCACTCTGACTCAAGTCAACAGCGATCCCCAGACCTGCGGGGGTTCACAGGCAGCCCCGCTCCGTAAGTGCTTGGAGGCCCCACGCCTCATTCTTCTCCTGGGGGCCTGTCGGGGACACGCGAACGACTTTCTCCTGGGAAACCCTCAGACCCCACGTTCAGCTTCGACCCAGCCGTGTAAGGGCTGCGTGCGGAACGTGCCGAGGAGCTGTCTCTCAGCTTCTCTGTGGGTTCGTAGTTTTGCTACCGTGGTGCCAAATTCAACGATCACTCTGACCCCGTGAAAATAATTTGACACCAAGACGTTTATTTTCATGTGGTTCCACGACAATCCGTGAATATATTCAGCAAATAGTTCGTTTGCGTGTAAGGCTGAGCTAGCCATGGGGAATCAAGGAGAAGTAAAAATGCTCCTGCCAGAAAGAAGCGTTAGCAGTGGAGGCACAAACGTTTGTGTGCACACACCTGTGCGTGCACGCACGCACACTCACGATGAAGGGCCAACGCGATTGCGGGAGAGGAATTGTGCGGATACAGGGACTCTTACGAAGTCAAGAAACCAGAAATATTACCCATTTCTAGTAGAAGTAAAATTAGATAATTGTTCATTAAAAAAAGCGACAAGTCACTCTGTCTCTATTTCAGCAAGATAATTAATTACTGGATCAAAACCGCTTGTTAAACAGCGAGCCGGCAGTTTAATAAACGTGCTACGCTTTCACGTGAGTTCGTTCATGGAGCCTATCGATCAGTGACGACAGCGCCCCCCACTGGAGACGGCAAAAATGCAGGATGAGCGCAGATTACTCACGCACAGGCCGGTCGCGTTCCTGCTAAACTTTCATGAATCGATTACCATTGTAATTAAACTTTTCTTCTCAACCTAGGTATCTTCCACGCATTTAGCTTTCAAGTTAATGAGTGGATGAATGAGCATAAGTGATAGGGTTTTTTGCAATGAACTACATTTTAACACCACTGCTTTTGAAACAGGCCATCAGACGAATCGCGTGCAAGTCGGTATATTAATGCAAAAACCAGAGAGTAGCTTAAAACACTAGTCTGTCTAAACAGAAATTAAGGGGCTGTGTCAAAGCCAAAATTGTCTTTGGAATGTATGCTTCTTGGTGACTAATAGTGACGGATTATTTTCACATGGACAATTTATCTGGACGAGTAATCAATATCGATTCAGCTCAAATACTGTTCTGAGCATCGCGGGGCCTCCACGGTGTGAGACACATTCACCTCCTCACCTGAGCACACAGCAACTCTGCAGCATTTTCTTGGTGTACATCTTCTAGAGAAGAAAATTACAGATAAGAAAATTAGGAGTAGTAATTAGCAAAAGTATGGATCTGAAATCCCATATCGTCTCTAATACCTTATGCTATGCTTTCTCTGTATAAGGCATTCAGTGAAGGGTACACAGCACATCGAAATATGTCCTGAAAGTTGACTTGTACTTTTCTCTCCACAAAAGAGCGACATCTGTATTATCCCCGAGGAGTGTGACGATGACCTTTAAATGCAACAGCTCAAGTTCCAAGAAAACCTTAACACTAACGAGAAAATAAGACAATGGGAGAAATAACTTTGAGACGGCGCCGGCTCCGGGCTGTGGTTGATCAAAGCGGGGCTGTCATTCGGCCAGGAAGATGGGCGGGGTCAGCTGGGACCCCGCTGGAATGACTGTCACTCAGGCCGAGTGGGGACCGTGCGTCTTTCAGGTCTGGTCCCGCGTAGAGTCACCAAAAACCTGCTATGCCGCTTCAGCCAGAGGCTTTTCTAGAGAGGGAAGAAAAGGAATGTTACTTTCAACCTCAAAAAGTGACGGTTCTTAGAGAAGAAATATCTCCGAAGACATTAAAAAAGAAATAGATGTCAGGCCAAATGAGTTTCCAGTATAATATCAATTTTAAGCAAAAGTCCGTTTATAACAGAAGAATAAACACAATGACCTAAAATTGAGAAAGTTTGGCTTCAGGAGAAGTTGTAGGATTCGGGACAGTTTTTAATGTACAGTTGAGACAAGAGAGCGCATTAAAAGCACCGTCTTCCCCCATGTAAGCGAAACCTCACATATAACTTTTGACTCCCCCAAAACTTAACTGTCGTAGCCTACTGTCTTATTGATAATACAATCAATTAATACATATTTTGTATGTTGTGTGTATCTTACACAGCATTCTTATGGTAAAGCAAGCTAGAGAAACATTAGGAAAATCACAAGAAAGCTACATTTCCAGTAATGTAGGTATTTATTGAAAAGCACCCACACATAAATGGCCCTGCGCAGTTCAAGCCTGTGTTTTTCAAGGGTCAACAGTGAAGAATAATGATCGTCCAATCACGAGCGCCCACTCCTCTCCAGGTCTTGAGAGCCAGGGTGTTTGAGCTGGCAGCGTGGTGACCCAGAGTGGCTAGAGGTGAGGGGGTCAGGGGACAAGCACCAAAAACACTCGCAGGATAAAGGGTGGACGGTCGAATCCGGAGGAGCCACGTCCTGTGTGGCCTGGACTTTCCAGGGCCCGGTCCGGGGCCCGGTCCAGGGCACGCAGTCGGCCCCCGGCTCGAGGGCCTGGCATCGCAGAGGGCGGCGAGACGTGGAAGGGAGGAGAGGTGCAGAGGACCCCGCGATGCCGTCCGTCTGTCTGGCCGTCTTGTCCGTCTGTCTGTTATCGAAGCACGTCTGACGCCCGCCATCGTGTGACCTTGAGGTGCACGCAGTGTCAGTCGGATGCACTTACACACCGTCGTGCGATCCCATTGTAGTGCAGGACGGCTGTCACGTCGTCACACAGGGTCCCTTCTCTTTAGGCCGGAGCCGCCGAGTTGCAGCCTCCTGGTGGGTTTGACGACCATGACACAGCATCTGTGTTCCGCCACTGTGCCTCGTGTCTCTGGGGTGTACGGGATTCTTCTTGCAAATTTGTACCTTAAACCCCATCTGCCTTGTCCCTCCACGCCCACCCCCAGCCCTTGGAAGCCACCACGTCCCGTCCGCCTTTATGAGTCTGGCCTTTTAGGGTCCACACGTCAGCGAGGCCACACTGGTCTTTCTCCGTCCAACGTCCCACTCGGCGCAATGCGCTCAAGGTCACTAACGGTCAGCTTCCGGGTGTCGGGGTCCGTGCCGTTCGCCTACTTTGCCTTCCTTTTAATCCGGATCCCCGGGTCGCCTCCTCCCAACTACATCTTTTTATTTTCGCCTTCAACTCCCCATTTCCCTGTTTAATTTAAACGGTAACATTCTAGATTTAGGGAAAAAGATGTTGGTGAAGGTTCACGATAAGCACTGCCGGCCTTCGTAGGATTTCCGCGGCTCCGTTTGCCGGGCGCTTATTCGCCAGCCGCCTTGACGCCTGCCCCAGACCCTGGCGGCCCCACGGCGGTCGCCGTCACCGCGTGGAGGGGCAGCCGAGGCTCGCGGGCCTCCTGCGTCTGGCCTTGCACGGAGCACAGGGCGTGTGGAGGAGGAAGCTCGGCCACGAACTCCAGGCCGCCCCACGGCGTCGCAGCGCACCCCACCTGCCAGCAGGAGTCGCCCTGGAGCGCCGAGGGACCGTCCAGGCAGACGTGTGCCTTGAAGGCCACGCACCTGCTCTCTGCGTCCGCCTGGTTCCCTTAGACTTGAACTTGTCGATGACTTTTCTTCGCCCTCCTCCTCTGAGTGAACAAGTTCTGTGTTTTACCTGAGTTTTGCTCCTCTCGCTCCGTTTCTTTTTTTGTTTTTTTTTTTGTTTTTTTTTTGCTACATTTTCCCTTCAAAGACAACATCCTTATGACAAAGGACTGTGCCTCGCCACAAAGATCAACCTGTCCGTGTAAATGCTCGTTCCCTTTGATACCGGTGTCATCCGGATGCTCTATGTGAGTTCCATTAAGAACTAAGTGTGCGTGCGCGTGCACGCACCAGCACAGGTGTGCCCGCGGCTCCCGCGACCCGGTCCGTCCCAGCGGAACGCGACGCGGCCCGACCTTCCTCGCGGCCCTGGCCGTGCTCGGTGCCCCTTCCGTAGCCCGTTTTGTCAGGGTTGCTCCACGTGGCCGTGAGCGACCCCAGGTAGCAGCCGTTTGCTTTCTCCCCCCAGAAGCTCAGAAGAAGCAACCGGAAGAGAGCGCAGAGCTGATCCGAGAGGGACACGCGACAGGGAACGCGGACCGCTCCACGGCGGAGCCCGCCCCGGGAGGCCCGGACGCGGACGGAGAAGAGACGACGGACGGGCCGGAGGAGGACTCGGACGAAGAAGCGGGTCACGAGCCGGTAGGAGCTAAGCCCGCGGCGCCCGCGGCCTCTGGGGACAGCGCGTCAGCAGCGCGTTCGTTCTAGAAGAGAGGTGACACACTCGGGGCTGGCGTCCTGGGCGGCGCGTGCGTCAGGCGACGTCGGGGCGGGGCTTTGTGCGTTCGCGCTCAGTCCGTCTCTGCTGACGCAAAGCGCGAGGGAGGAAGCGAGGGAAGAGGATGTCGGACGTAAGTTAGGTCCAGTCCAAGTCCCGAAAGGTCGCTTTTCTGGAACGCCTCGTCACGCCAGGAGCTTGCGCTTGTGCGATTACACGTGGACCGTGCCTGGACGCAGTGCCCCGGGGACGAGGACCGGCTCCCTGGCGCCCCCTCGGGCCCAGCCCTGTCCCTCACTGGGGAGAACCGCCCACCCTCAGTCGCATGGCCCGCGGTCCTCCCGATGCTGCTCACGCCGATGGCCCTTCGGCGTCCGGCCCGGTCCCCGTCTTCCGTGCCCGCGCTGCCGGACACCCAGTCGTTATGAGACTTCATTCTTTACGTGTTTTATTCTCCCAGGGTTGTGATCATCACCTGCTCGTGTCCAGGTGTCTTCCCCGTGTGCCCGCACCGGGCGCCTGGTAGACGTAGGCTGAGGATGCCGTTCCTCGCAGTTTATCAACCGTGAAATTAAATACTCTGTCTTAAGGGATCGATTAATGAAAGCAATGAGAGGGCGTGTGTGTGTGTGTGTGTCCATGTGTGTGTGTGTGTCTGTGTCCGTGTGTGTGTGTCTGTGTGTGTCTATGTGTGTTGAGAACTCTCAAGTATCCATGGGACAATATTAAACCTGACCTATCCAAGGTGCTATCAGACCCCAGTTTGTTGTGGCTCCTACTGGTGCGGACCAGTTTTGTCGCGGTGGTTGTCATGGTAACCTCCCTATCAGCTGCTTCGCTTTCGGAATTCGATATTCCATTCATAACATTCCAGCTCTGTTTGAATCGCGTGGCACCTTCGTTTAAAGTTTCCAACATGAGCCTTTAACGACCACCCTCATTTCTACGGAAGTCTGCATTCATTTGAAGGACTTACGCACCTGTTGTGAGAGCTGTTTCGGTTTGGGGAATCAGTTGAGCACCTGTTGTGAGAGCTGTTTTGGTTTGGGGAATCTGTTGAGCAGGGGCGAGAATGAATGAGGGACCGAGCGTTCGGCTTCTCCTTGGGCAGGACTTTGCTTCGCCGTCACAGGTGTCCCCGCCCCGTTCTAACCGGACTTGTGTTGCCGCCGAGGTCTCTGCAGCCTCCGGGTGGCCCACTCCAGCGGTTCCCTCTTTGAGCTTGTTTCACTTTGCTCCTCAGCAGGTGCGGTTGAGGGTTCAGGCGCCCTGCTCACTGTCCCCTGCCGCCATGTGGCTTCGTCCTCGTTGTGCACACTCCCCCAAGGCAACTACGTCGAGCGCCAGAGCCTTAAATGTGATACACAGGCCGCGGTCCTCGATCTATATTTCTAGTCCTGATCGCTTCCTGGAATTCCAGACTTAAGGATTTAAATGCCTCCCCTCCCCCAGAGATCTCCAAGAAATGCCTGGGATGGAGCGTGCCAGAAATCAGCCTGATTTTTCCAGCCATCGTGGTCCTGCCCGTCTCCCCTGTTCTGGTACCAGCACCGTCATCCACACGTCGTTAAAGCCACCAAGACCAGGGTTACCTGTGATTCTCCCCACTCCTCCCATTCATTCTCCCCCCAAATCACAGCCCAGAGCCCGTCGCACGTCCTCGTCAGCCCCTGCGCCCCTCTCCCCACACGAGGACAGTCAACGTCTTCATGAGCTACCCATCGGGGACACTGCCCCTCGCTTAAACCCCTGCGCTGCTCCCCGGCACGCTCGGAACCCAGATCCCAATGCGCGAGTGTAAACGGACGCTGTTGGGCGGAGGGGGCTGGCGGAGAGAGAGCGAGGGGCAGAGAGAGAGCGAGGGAGAGAGAGAGCCTGGCGGAGAGCGAGGGAGGGAGGGAGGAAGTGGGCGGCGGTGACGCGCCTGGCCGGGGGTCGCTGGGGTGGGCGAGGTGCGTCTGAGGTGCACAGGCCCGTGCAGAGCAGACGGCCGTAAACAGGTGCTGTGCGTGGCGGTCCCGGCGGGCGTTTGCGTCCCTTACGCGTGTCCTCACCGTCCCGCCGTATTGGCCCTGGTGCTCCCACACCCGCCCACGTGTGTGAACAAGGTCATAGTTACCTCGTCGGGAAAAGCGCCCCCGGCTCCGGCCCTCGGCCCTCTGCACGCGGGGCCCCAGGCGGCCGCCAGCACGGCTCTGCCACAGCCAAGCCAGGCCTCGTGGCTCCGTCTTAAACGCTTCGGGGGCCGCCCAAGCGCTCAGAGTGGAAAGGTGTCCTCGCCACGGCCCCGCTCCCTCCCTGACCCGCCCCGACGGCTGTCCACTCACCTAGCCGTGGCAACATTGGCCTCCGGGCCTCGGGGCGTGCTGCACCGCGAACGTGCAGGACATCAGGAAGGGCTTCGATGCGTTGCTCAGCCCTTGACATCTATCCCGTAAATTTCATGTAAGTAATATGGGAATTGCCTGGACATAGAGAATGAGGATGCAGTGCAACCCAGTGGTCTGAGGCGGATTTTTCTGGAATGAGATAGAAGCAGGGTTTCCAGACTTCGCAAACAAAAATTCAGGATACCCAGTTACATCGGAACGGCAGATCAACAATGAATGATTTTCCAATAAAATCACGTCCCAAATGATACACAGGATATACTCGTAACAACAAAAAAGTGTATTTGTTATTTATCTGAAATTCCAGTTCGACTTGGACTTCTGCAATCCGCCTGCCAACCCTCCACCGAAATGGGTTCAAACACTGGCCTTGAACAAGTCGTTTAACTCCCCCAGGCTCCGTGATGTCGTCTGTGAACACGGAATGAAAACCCCCGCTCACAGGCCTGGAAGGACCCGGCGAGATCGTCCTCGACACGCAGCAGGGCGATCGCGGCCACGTCATCATCACCGCAGTCACCGTCATCACCTCGTGCCCCGAGCGAAGCTTCGACAAGACGTAACATCCCCGGCAAGGCGATCTGCACGTGGACCTCTGCCTTCGGAGTCTGCCGAGATCCAAATTCGTGAAGAAGTCCTTCTTCTTTGATAAGAAAGCCGCCGGGAAGCAAATGTAATCTTCTGAGAAGAATCTACTCTGCTTTCACCTTGTTAAGTTTTTCTCTGATTTTATGCTTGCTGGCTTCCTGGATTCAGAGGAATTCCTTTTCAAGTCCCCTTCTTATGATTAAAAAGAAAAAAAAAGATAATGCTGACTGTAGCCTGTGGTGATAAATGGCTCTTATTTTCGTTTTTTCTATAGATTTGCTCTCTGGCTCATGTGATCTGGCTTTAAAGAATCCGAGCATGTGAGAAGCCGTGCATGTCATATCTTCTATAGTCATCCAGCCACACATCCATTAAAACAGCCACCAAGAATCTCAATAAAGGAGTGGAAACTCAGTAAGGTGCCAGGTACCGTTAGTCGCCGAAGCTACAAAGGACGGGGCGTCCTGGTTTCTGATTTTACAGAGCTTTCGCTGGACGGGCGAGGACATGCCGCAGCCAGAACAGAAACAGGTATGGACGGAGCAGTGGGATGAGTACGGTCACCACGTGAATCATGACAACGGTGCGGGAAGCAGAGTGACAGAGCTTAGGAAGCTCAGCGGACTACTCGGAGGTTGCGACGTTGGCGCCGGTTCCTATTCTCACAGAATGAAGAAGCGTGTGTAGGAAACAAAGGGTTGGTTGACGTCGCCCACAGGTAGTAGAGCGCGCGTGCCAGGAGACAGAACTCCGAGTCTGTGCAAAGTCGGTTGGTGACTTTGGCTAAAGCATTGATTCTCACACGGTGGTCCCAGAACCAGCGGCATCAAATCATGCGGAAACTCGTTGGAAATGCAGATTCTCAGGAAGAAGAAGCAAACTCTCAGGCTCTCAGCAGCTCCTCGTGATCCCGGTTTACAGCCAGCCCTCCTGCTGTTCTGACGCCTCCTGGCACTTGAGAGCTGGGGGGCCGCGGTGACAGGGTGTTCGAGCCCCGATGTGCAAAGAATCGCCAAGGTGCATTCTCACGACACCGAGGATGGGGGCCTGCTCCCAGACACTCAGGTCAGGGTCACTGGGGGTGCGGGCCAAGCCCAAGGCCAAAGGTGTTTCAGGTGCAGCCAGACTCGAGAGCCCCCGAGACAGAGCTCACGGTCCATGACGGAGAAGGCGATGGACACCTCGCCAAGAATCAAGCTCAGGCAGACTCACTCGAAATCGTTAGTCTTCAGGAAAACGCAAATGAAAACATAATAAGGTAACAGTGCACATCCCCCAGAACGGGCAAAATTGACTGACAGAAGCAAATGTCGCTCACACGTGGCCAGTGGGCCGATGCGATGCCACAACCATTTAGACGTGTCGGCAACTTCTTAGAAAACTGGACACAGTGAGCCAGCGGCTCAAGTCCTAAGCCTCCAGGAGGCTATGTCTAGAAAGCACCGTACAGAATGTTTCAGCGGCTTGACTCAGGATCCCCAAACTAGAAACAACCATCCATCGGAAAATGCACGTACAAAGTGTGGGTACAGTCTGCGACAGACACTTCCCAGCAGCAAAGAGGAGCAAGCTACTGTCCCTCCAATGGTGCGGACATGTCCTAGAAAGCTGCTGGGTGACAGAGGCTCGTGCAGGAGAGCACAGCACTGGGCAGCCGCATCGCCGTGACCGGGGGCTGGCCAGGGGCCGGAGGCGGGGGCCGGGGGCTGGATGTCACCGAAGCTGTTCTGTGGGATGGAAGACGGTGAGCAACCAACGGACGAGCCCAGACACGGACGGCAGCGTGATGCCCCCAGACGGGGCAGGGGAGGGTGAGGAGGGTAAAGGGACAATTACAGGGTGGGAAGGAGACCCGAGTTTGCGTGGCGAGCACACGGCGTGTTACAGACCTGTACGCTCGAAACACAGGCGTCCGTCTCTCCAGCTAGGCTCAGAGCCCCTTGACCGCCGGACGGTGTCTCGGCCTGCGACCCCTCGTGTCCAGCATGGTCGGCGCACGGGGCGGGTGAGGGGCGTGGATGGAGGGGTGCTGGGCGGCTGACTTGGGTCTCCACATACCTGTCCCCAAGGCCACCATCACCTGCCATGAATCCGACCCTGAGCAAGGCCCCCAACCCGTCCTGGACACTTCCGGTTTGCTTCTCCCTTTGGGCCACACTCCGTACGTGTGTCGTCACACGTAGCTTGCTGCGCTGTGATTGGTGGTTTCTCCACTTTCTGGCCACCGACGTGCAAATTTCTCAGGGCTTATTTTATCAGGTATTTTTCCTTAGTGTGGTGCGTATCATGTGTTAATGTTAATGAATATTTGTTAAAGAAACAGAGGAAAACATCATCCTCAGGTTACCCCAAACTCTGCGGCCCCTCATCATTGCTAAGCACATTTTACTCTGTACCGTAACCAGACAGTGTCCTAAATGCCACTTCCGTAGGCATGCCCTGGGTGATTT